CCTTTATTGAGTCCTTGTTACTGGCAGTACTATATCATGCTTTAGGTAAATTTGCTTTCATTCTAAACTCAACACATGAAAATTGTAGTTTTTAATGTTTTTTACCAAATTACATCATTTACCCATTTTTGGCCAATCAAGCGATTTCATGTAACATTCAGAGTTTCTAGCAGCAGCCTTTGATGGCTCACCACACTCCTATGGACCAAAATAATGAAACAATTTTGACATAGGTTTGATCTTAAGGATCTAATAGTTTGTGTTTGTGCATGACATTGCAGCACAAACATGTATTTGCAAGATAGACTGGAATAAATAATGACGCATCAAACATTACATAGGTTGCAGTGAATTCCTGTGGATACCATACCCAAAATATAAACTCTAGAAACTAAAACAAAAACAATCACAGGACATTTTGCAGAGTTCAAACCTGCAGCTGCAGCGCAAACAACAACAGCACTGTTTGTAAACGTGTCCTGGAGTTTCTGCAGGTGCAGACAGAGCTACTGCTGCAAGTAAGCCTAACAGCTTCCAGATCATTTATTCTGGCAGTATGGCAAGAAGGTCATCACTGCTGCAAGCACTGCCTGTATGATCTGGGAGTTTTTATGTTTTTGCTCTCCCTGCACATAAATAACAATGCTGATGATCAATGTTGATGTGAATCAATTACACGCCCCAGACTCTACTGTTAATAACACAAGAAGAAATTTCAGTAGCAATGCAATTATATAAAATTGTGAAAATTGAGGTTGTCTTCCAGCTAGTGCAGTGGACAAACAAACTGGTGTTCAAAGGGTTAAAAAGTAATAATTATTTTATATTTATGAAAAGAACTGAAGTTACTTAAAAGCTTTATGCAGAAAAAATGGCAAAAAAACATAAAAATAATAAAATTTACAGACATAATCTGTTGGTGGCCACGAACAAGCTGAAAGAGTCGTGATTTTGAACAAATCCAGAGAGTTAATAAAGGTGTGGAGGGCTGTGGGTGGGTGCGGGGGGTTCAGGTGAGGCGTACCTGTCTCCTGACACGGTGATCAGGTGTCTGCAGTCATTGCTGAACTTTAACCCCGTTATGATCTCTGGAACAGGAAGGAAAAGGGCCACATTTGAAATAATTTACTGGAATCACAGCCGTGTGTAAAAGCTCTGGTTTTAAATAAAGCTTTGAAGGAACTGGCTCTGCTGTCATCACTCGTGTCTGTAACTGACGCCGACTGACCCGAGTGTCCGAACATGGTGGCCACGCACTCTCCCGAGTACAGGTCGAAGATGCCAATGTTCTTGTCTGAGCAGGAGGTGGCGATGAAGAGCCCCGACGGGTCTATCTGCACCTGAGGACGCAGGAGGAGTCGGTTACTGTATGTCCCTGTTCCCATGGAAACACCATCATGGTACCCACACCGTTCTGACCTTAATGAGCGTCCCGTCTTCGCCCTGAGAGCCTTTGTAGAGCTTCTTCTGTTTCCCGTTACTGATGTTAAAGATCCTGCAGGGTGAGACACAGCACGCCGCCATCATCATCATCGTCATCGGCAGCAGTATTTACAGACAAACTCAAAAAATGATCCACAGACAGGAAGTGAGGGGATGAAGCGACCGGAGACCAGCTGCCACAGACCTCACCAGAAAAATAAAACTACTTCCTGGATGTAATGACACTTACAGCCATAAGGTGGCAGCAGCGCACCTTAAAGCAGGAAGGAAGCTGCCGGAAGTTTGCATGGCAGTGAGTGGGAGCGCCAGTAAAGGTTTAAATCCAAACAAACATGTGATACACCCGTGTGTGTTTGTGTTTACATCCTCAACGCGCAGGTAGGTTCAGAAAACCAGCTCGAAGCTGAGAAACGCCTCCGTTTGGACTAATTCCATCAAAACCATTCACAGGAACAGGAAACACCAGCTGCTTACTGGGCCAATCACATTGATAAAGCTGTAACCAGCAGGGGGCAGCATGACTCGTCGGATCGTCCCCACTGATAGATAATCAATACATGAAGCCTTTCCCCCAAAAGTGGGGCTTTTAATGTGAAAGTCATTTGTTTTCTCTGGGTTTGCTGCTTTTAATGTGAAATACTTTGGAAGGTGCTGTAAACATACAGAAGGAAGGAAGAACCCAGAGAGGAGGAGGAGGTTAATCCTGCACTCCCACGGGCTGCTGGGTAATCTGACTGATCTGAGCTGAAGGTGGATTAAAGTCCAGGCTCATCCTGCGTCTCATTGGCTGATTGCAGGTCACTTTTCAGTTCCAGCTTTGAAACGGCTTCTGCTGATCACTGACTGCACGCCTGCAGGCAGACTGCATCATGGGAGTTGTAGTTGGTCAGAGCCTTTCATTGGTCGGACGTTACCTGATGCTGCGGTCCTGACAGCCCACTGCTGCGTACGTCCCAGTCGGCTCGACGTCCATGTCGTACAGCGTCGTCTTCCTGACGGCGTGATGCGTCCGCGTGAACTCCAACCCCTCCCCTGTCTGAGGAGGAGCAGAGAGAAGAGGAAGCACCACAATACCACGAAGTACCAGAAGGAGTTTTTTTACATCACTTCACCTGGAAACACGTGAACGAAAACTGTGCGAGAGCTGACCTCGGATCAGTGACGGCGCCACGAGCACGACACTCGCAGTACTATTACTCCGCTACAGGTACTATTAA